GGGACGGGAACGGCAGGCTTTAGGCAATAAATTACAAGCATGAGGGCGCGTTCTTAAACAGAATGATTGCCATGAGAATCGGCAGAGGCTGAGGGCGATTTGTGGGGCCACATTCCCCGGCCTGTGTTCTCTGTGTGAGCCTGGAGAATGAATAAATCATTGTTCAGGGGCGGGATGCAGCTGCCGGGCTCCTCCCCTCGGCACATGCCCCGACTCTGGAGCCTCCATTGAGGGCTGCTGGAGCAGAGCGGTTTATACACCCAGCTCCCCAAATCCTATTGAGGCCTCTCCCTCTGCACGAGCCGCCGGCTCCAAGCCCATTCAGACTAGCCCTTTGTGCTGGAGGTTAAGTGGTTACATGTGGGGGGCACCCAGAAAGGACCTGTCAGGCCCTGAAAGGCTGTGCTGATACCGAGCCCTCCTCCTGATGAATGGGGTGGGTGGAGGAGAGGTGGGCGGCCTGAGGATGGGGTTGGGGAGAGGGCATGGGATTATGGAGCCCACAGAGGCAGCTGCTAGGAAGGGGGTGGAACGGGCACCCCCTTCTCTCATTCTTCCTTCAGATCAGATTTTCTATCGAGCTCACTCCCATCGCTGTGGGCTCTGGGGTGTTCCAACAGCCTTAGGACTTCGGATTTGACTTTTCTGGACTCCTGGTGGAGGAAAGGTTTGGGAGAGAGAACATCAACCACTTGGTTGCCTTGAGGGAAAGGGTCTATTTCATTCTTCCAACAGCTCCAAAACACCCCTCCGTTTGCCCCTTTCCCCTTCAGGAGTGAAGGGAAAGGTTGGGGTGGAATTCATCTCCCAAGTTCATGTGGTGCAGTGGACTTGAAAAGCTTCCTGGGACACACCCCCACCCTCAGGGGCTGTTTAGGGTGGGAGTGTTCAGGGGAGAAAGAGACCTCAAATGGGGTGTATTGCAAATATTTTGTATGAAAATAAAAGATCCCAAGTCTTCAAAAAAAAAATTCAGACTTGATGTACGTCCCGCTCATTTTATAGACAGCCATATGGAGAGGTGGGGAGTGGACCTGTCTTACCTAACGTGGTCACAGAATTTTTAAAAAAATATATTTTTATTGATTTTTTACAGAGAGGAAGGGGGAGAGATAGAGAGCTAGAAACGTCAATGAGAGAGAAACATCCACTAGCTGCCTCTTGCACACTTCCTACCTGGGATGTGCCCGCAACCAAGGTACATGCCCTTGACCGGATTCAAACTCGGGACTTTTCAGTCTGCAGACCCATGCTCTACCACTGAGCCAAACCAGTTTCGGCAGAATTTTCTTGATAGACTAGAGGGCACTTTGCCTTTAAGTTGCTGAGGAGAAAAATGGATGAACAAAACAACTAGGTCACCAGCATTGTAGGCCTTTCTTTCCCGAGATGAGCTAATTCTGGGGAATGTTTTTCCTTCCAATACACCTTCAGGGCTCTCTCATGCATCAAAGGTTCTCCAAAGACTGTGTGCCTGGTCTTGGGATCCCAACTAACAATGTTCACATTATAACATTACTTAATAATGTTCAAGGCGTAATATCTTTATTTAACCTAAAAAGGTTAAACTGGGTTGATTTGCCTAAGTTCCCAAAGCCATGTGAGTAGGTTTTTTTGTTGTTGTTTGTTTGTTTTTAATATATTTTATTGGTTTTTTATAGAGAGGAAGGGAGAAGGAAAAGGAGAGGGATAGAGAGTTAGAAACATTGATCAGCTGCCTCCTGCACACTCCCTACTGGGGATGTGCCTGCAACCAAGGTACATGCCCTTGACCGGAATCAAACCTGGGACCCTCTAGTCCACAGGCTGACGCTCTATCCACTGAGCTAAACCAGTTAGGGCCCATGTGAGGAGGTTGGCAGATGACGATATGAGCTCATGAAGAAAATAAAGCAGGTGGCTGGTGCCCCAGGACTGGGAGCCTGGGCTTTGTCCTGATGAGGAACCTCTGGGGGCTCCCTGTTATTTCCCTGCGGCCCCCGGGGAAGAAGCCCTGGCTCCACAGAACAGTGGTCAAGACCTTTCACCTCTTAGCATCCTTTATCCTCCAGCTTCATCTCCTGCCTCTATTGCCCGACAGGTACTAGTCACATTGGCCTTCCCCGGGTTGTCTCAACACACTTGGCCTTCTCCTGCTTTCTCTCGGTGAGCTTCTCTTCATCCATCAGAGCCTGGCTCTGCCACATACAATATAGACTCTACCTCAACAGTCAATCTCTGATTTGTTGTCTTTTGTAGCCAAAACACACATGAAGGGGTTGTTGAGTAGGTGTGGAGCCTTATGTGATTGTGCCTAATGACTTTCTCAAAGAGTTAACTTCCTGTCTCTGACATTCTAGGTTCTGCGTGGTCAGGAGGCTTTAGCATCCAGGGAGGGATGTTTCTAACCGGGAAACACCAAGATGATTCCACTACATTCCAAGCTCCTCCTAATACTAGAGAAAGAGAAGAAAGGAGGTCACCATGTAGGCTGGACTGATAACGGTCACCAGGGGAAATAGAGTTGCTACTATTTTTTTTTAAATATATTTTATTGATTTTCCACAGAGAGGAAAGGAGAGGGATAGAGAGCCAGAAACGAAACGTCAGTGAGAAACATTGATCAGCCTCCACACAACCCCACCAGGGATGTGCACATCCCCCACCGGGGATGTGCCCGCAACCAATGCACATGCCCTTGACTGGAATCAAACCTGGGACCTCTCAGTCTGCAGACCGACGCTCTATCCACTGAGCCAAACCGGTTTCGGCAAGAGTTGCTACTATTTAATGAGGACCGAGAGGTGCATGCGTGGGACTCAGAGATGCTCTGTTAATCATGGTCCTTTTGATTGCGAGCAAAAGAAATCCCGCTCATGTTAGGCTTGGCGAAACAAGGGCCCTATTGGAAGGTACACAAGGCCTCAGGAAACGGACTGGAACATCGCCAGGACACTGGCTTTTGTCTCTGCTTCTGTGAGGCAGCATCATTTTCTCCTATTACAAACTGACTGCTACCTGCCAGGAAATGGGATTGCTGCAGCCCTAGGCTCACATCTTCCCTGCTTTGTCTCCCTTTAATTTTATGTCAGCAGTTCCCAGGGAAAGACTGACTGGCTCACCTGGAGTGGGAATCCTGGGACTCATCAGGCTGCTGTTTAACCCACGTGGTGAGGGCTGGGAGAGACGAAGCTGAAGGAAAAGGGGGGAGGAGCTGTTCTGGGCCCACCAAACCATCAGGTGACTGTGTGGCTGTCTGGCCTGGGGAGAGCTGCATGAGCCCAGGCCATCGGAGCCCAGAGCCTTTAGGAATGAAGATTCGGGTCACCTCACAGGGAAGGAAACTCGGTGGCTGAAGGCAAGGGGAGCTGGCAGTGGGTAAAGGAAAAGGGAAACTCAGTTCAGACCTGCGGTCTCCACCTGCATATTTTAAGCTGAGGGAGTATCCAAAGTTTGAGTTACTTTTGCCTTCTCCCTTTTACTTTATTTTCCCTCTTAAAAATAGGAATTGTCATACTCAGAAAATGGTTTTTCTTCCCTCTTCCATCTCCCTTATTTTTGTATATAGGATTGGTTGGTGTGATTTAATTTACGTTTAGTCTCTCAGTAGCAGAGTTGTGAGTTGGAATCAAGTCGAAACTGGAAGAGGACACCTCAGCAGAGATCACAAAGTTGAATTATTTCTCATTAAAAAAAAAAAAAAAAAGCAATAGAAAGGAATGAAGGCAAGGTATTTTATTTATTTGTTAAATTATATTTTTATTGATTTCAGAGAGGAAGGGAGAAGGAGTGATAGATAGAATCATCAATGATGAGAGAGAATCATTGATTGACTGCCTTCTGCATGCCCCACACTGGGGATGGAGCCCGCAACCTGGGTAAGTGCTCTGACAGGTAATTATAGGTCAACACTCAACTATTGAGCCACCCAGGCGAGGCAAGACAAGGCATTTTATTTATTTATTTATTTATTTTAAAATATATTTTATTGATTTTTTTACAGAGAGAAAGGGATAGGAATAGAGAGTTAGAACTATCAATGAGAGAGTACATGCCCTTGACTGGAATTGAACCTGGGACCCTTCAGTCTGCAGATGGATGCTCTAGCCACTGAGCCAAACAGGTTAGGGCTATTTGTTATATTTTTTATAGCCTTGTTGAAACAGGACCCCTAAGAATTTTGGTTACCTCCAAAAAAATTAGGAGTGAGAGATGGGACAAGGTATTTTAACTGTATTTCTCAACAATGAGTCCATATTAGTTTAGTTTTGAAATGGGGTGAATGGGGTTGGAGATACATGAGGAAGGTACATAATTGCTTAGCTTGTTCAATAAAATGGTGTGGAAGGGACCCCTCTCCTCCCGGAAGCTCATGTGCCCCGAAGGCTAAATTTGTCCCAGACTTCTTTCTGGGGAACTTATTTTAAGAAGCCTTCACTTACTAACACCAGCCAGTACTTTTCAGTTTTATGATCGAAACCAGAAATTCCTCTGTTCTCTTTGATTGCAAACTGGGCCCCCAAACCCTATACGTGTCCCCCAACGAGGAAGGGAGTGAGGGGGTCAGGCTTCAGTCAATAGACACTGAGGAGAGCTCACTGCACTGACACCGGCCTGGCAGTAGCCCCAGGCCTGTCCTGGAACAGATGCTCTTAAACATGTACCTTTCCTAAGTGACTTTAGTGAATAAGCACAGCATGAATACATCATTTCAAACGGTGATAGATGCTAGGAAGAAAAGGAACAACGTGCTCGGGGATAATATTAGAGACGGTTGAGAAGAGGCCTAATGTATGAGAGGGGGGAGGTCATGTTCAGCAGGAGCAGTGTGTGCAAAAGCCCATGGCAGGAAGGAGCCCGGCCGGATTGCAGAGATGGAGCTCAGAGGCAGACGAGGGAGAGACAAGACCGGATGCTCAGGGCCGGGAGGATGCTGCCTGCAGGATTCGCCCTGCAGTGGAGAAGCCATCAGGGGGTTTTAGGCAGGAGGGTGGTGCCATGACCAGAGTTTCATCTTGAGAATGTCACTCTGTCTGCAGAGAGGAGCCCAGGGAGGGCAGCTCGGGACGAACGAATACGGGACCTGCCAGGCCTCGGTCAAGGCTGCGGAAGGGGAGGCGGTCCGGGGGCTCCGCTTCCCCGCGGGAAACCGAAGCGGCCCACGTGGGCCCGGCCGCCCCGCCCCGCGCGCTGACGCCGCCGGCCCCGCAGTCCGCGCCCGGAGCTGGGAGCGCCGCTGGGAGCCCCGCACCCCGCGCCGGGCCCGCGTGGACGCCCAGGCCGAGCTCCCGCCGCGGGGCCCGTGGAGCCAGAGCTGGCCGTAGGGGCGGCGCCTCCAGGCCGTGAGTCGGGGGGCCCCAAGGGAAGGGTTTGGGGCGCAGCCGCTGGGGTCGGGGGACCCGGAGGGAAATCGCAGCCTGCGCACCGCTGCCTCCTATCGGGGCATTAGGGGAGGGTGGTGTCTGCTCTCAGTCTTCCGGGAGTCTCCCCCTCCTGCAAGGCCAGGCAGGGAGGGAGGCCCAGCGCCCCCACCCTCACAGAGCGACCTCCTCTCCATCCCCACCCAAAACCCGGCAAACTGAGGATTAGAGAGAGAAGCCTGATCCTGGGGTGTCTGGGTTCCCACTTTACCGTCTTGGAGACCCCCTGCAGTTCGTCACACCACCACCACCACATCCTAGCTTCCTTCTGGCCCCGCCCAAGTTTAGGAAAAGCGAAACATCTGGGTGGGGATCTCCGGGCACCTCGCTTAGCGGGGAGTTTGAAGGTTATAAAAGAACTGTCCCTACACCACCCACCACCCCCAGCCCAGGACTTCTGCCCACTACTGGATGTGGGGAGGGTCCTTGTCGCCTACATTATCTCTCACTCTTACTGATACCCAGATTTTCTAATGCTAGTGGTGCGTGGTCAGTAGAAACCTCCTGCCAAGGTTGGTAGAAGGGGGTTATTGAGGAAGTAAGATTAGTGTTGTATGTCCTCCCTCAGGGCATCGAAATAAAGCAAGTTAGGGGCAGGGACTCGGATCGTAGGTATGGAGGGAAGGAGGCAGAGCCCAAGAGGCTTGTCCATAGGGAGGTGGGGTCCCCCTTGGGCAGAGGAAGGAACTGGACCCAGCGGGGCCAGGCCTGGGCAGCTGGCAGGAGCCTCCTGCTGCTCTTCCTGAACATAGATATCCCGCTGCAGGCCCCCTCTCTCCCATTGGAGGCCCCCCTCTCCCCCATTCACTCACCCAGCAAGTATGGACTGACACCTGCTAGTGCCAAGCTCCATGCTGGCTCTTGGGAATACGATGGAGGATATATAGAGGAGTTCCCCATCTAGTCAGGGAGCCGAATTTGTAAGCTGCTATTACAAGAGAGTTTTTAAAAAATTGAATAGACATTTACTGATCATCCATTATGTGTTGGGGACAAGAAACAAACATGAGTTAGACAGTGTGTAACCAGGGCAGTGGGACCCACAGGAAGGCAATTAACTGTGTGTGTTTGTGTATATTGGGGCAGTGGGGAGAAAATCAGGATGGCATCAGAGATGGGGGAGGGATATTAGAGCTGAGTTTTGAAGTATAAAAAGGAATTTGTGACCTAGCTGGTTTGGTTCAGTGGATGGAGCATCGGCCTGTGAACTGAAGGGTCCCGGAGATAATTCCAGTTAAGGGTACATGTCTGGGTTATGGACTCAATCCCCTGGGTCGGCAGCCAATGAATTCTTTCTCATCCTTGATGTTTCTATCTCTCTCTCCCTCTTCCTTCCTTTTCGACATCAATTAAAAAAATTTTTTTTAAAGGAATTTGTGGGTGGAGAAGGATTAGAGGAGAGGGGAGAGGAAGGGTACCATAGGTCAAGGGAATTGTGGGAGGAGAATAATGGTGCATTTCTGAGATATCTGAGCAGTTTGGTGTGGCAGGAGGGGCAGGGTGGCAAGAGGCAAGTCTGGAGGGGTGAGCAGGAGCCAGATGAAGCACAGCCTTGTGGGCCATTAGAGGTTTAGGGAGCTGGGATGAATGAAATTTACATTTGTAATTGGAGGCAGAGAGATCAGAGAAAAGGTTGTGGCAGTCATCAGTCCTGGTAAGAAATACCCTAAACCAAGTGAAAGCGAGGAGAGATGTATGTACATACACACACAAAGGGTGTGTGTTTTTTTCTCTCAGAATTTCGTGGCCAATGAGATGGGGAAAAGAAGCAGCGTGAGGGCTGAACCGGTTTGGCTCAGTGAATAGAGCCTTGACCTGCGGACTGAAGGGTCCCAGGTTTGATTCCAGTCAAGGGCATGTACCTTGGTTGTGGGCACATCCACAGTGGGGGGTGTGCAGGAGACAGCTGATCAATGATTCTCTCTCATCGATGTTTCTAACTCTATCCCTCTCCCTTCCTCTCTGTAAAAAATCAATAAAATATGTTTAAAGCAGAGTGAGCTGTCCAGGATGCTCTCAAGTATCTGACTAGAGTGTGGGGCCACTTTGCCCAGGTCCCTGAAGAGGAAGAGCTGTTTGGACGCATAGAATTTGAGGAGCCTGTGGTTGGTTGGAGGGTTGAAAAGTAGTTGGATTTGAGCTGGAGGCAGATCTGAGTCACCAACACATGATTCTCCTTGGAGCTACCGCAGTCTGAGGTCATCTAGGGAGAAGCGCATAGAATGAGAAGACACCCTGCCTCAGAGGGCTGAGGGCAAACCTGTGCAGGAGACTGAGAAGCAACAGACAGACAGGGAGGAGGAAGACCAGGAAGAGAGGTGTTGCCAGAGCACAGGAAAAAGGACCGAGCAGGAGCAGTCAAGCACGCTTGCTGGTTGCCTCCACTCTGTCAGGACACCCACCCTGCCCTGCTCTGACTCATCCTTCTGCTTCCCCTCTACAGGCCAGATGTTTGCCATCCAGCCAGAGGTAGCTGAGGGGGGCCAGTTCCTGGGGGGGCCGCCTCCTGGAGCATGCCAACCTGAGTTTCATCCAGACAGCAACTCCAACTTCATGGCGACTGCCAAGGACGCCAATGAGAATTGGCATGGGATGCCAGACCAAGTGGAGCCCGTCCTGATGAGGAGCTCCTCCGAGTTGCCCTCTGACAACCAGGCCTTCCAGGACCCTGGACTGCCCGAGGGGGAGCTCCGCAGCCCCCCAGAGGGAGCAGAGATCCCCAGAGCTGAGCCTGAGAAGATGAGTAGTGCCGGCACCATCTGCTCCCCTCTGGAGGACAACGGCTATGCCAGCAGCTCCCTCAGCATTGACAGCCTTAGTAGCAGCCCTGAGCCTTCCTGTGGGACCCCTCCCGGCCCTGGGCCTTCAGATCCCCTCCTGCCTTCAGTGGCCCAGGCTGTGCAGAAGCTGCAGGCTCAAGAGCGCTACAAAGAGCAGGAGAAGGAGAAGCACCACATGCACTTGGTGATGTACCGCCGCCTGGCCCTGCTCCAGTGGATCCGAGGCCTGCAGCATCAGCTGGTTGACCAGCAGTCCCGTCTTCAGGAGAGCTTCGACACCATCCTAGACAACCGAAAGGAGCTCATCCGCTGTCTCCAACATAAGGCAGCACCATCCAGACCTTAGGACCGGGACTAAGCGTGTGCCTCTCTGGGGTGCGAGGGTATATGTATATATTTGCAGGCATGCGTGTGATTGTGCACAAGTATGTGATTATTAGCTGGTATGAGTGCAGGTAAGCATAAGTGAGTATGTATGTGCTAACATGTGCCAGGCATCAGCTTATGTGTGCTGTATATAGACACAGCCTAAATTATGTGCAGGCCTGTGTGTGTGTCCGTCTTTGTATGTATGGTATGTATGTAAGAGAGTAATAACATTTTGGTTAGTTTATTTATTGTAAGAATACAGTGTATAACACATATAACATACAAAATATGTGTTAATCGACTATTTATGTTATTCATAAGGCTTCCTGTCAGCAGCAGACTATTAGTTAAGTTTTTGGAGAGTCAAAAGTTCTGCATGGATTTTCGACTGTTTCAGGGATCGACACTCCTAAAACCTTCGTTGCTCCTGGGTCAACTGTACATACAAAAGAAGTGTGTGCCTGTGAGGAGGATTGAATGTTGAGGCTTATGGTGGGTGTATATGAGTGAGCTCTTGTCTGTGTAGGCCCATGTGTGCTGTAGGGGTGCATGTGTGCTGCTGAAGCCTGGGAAGTATCTATTAGGAATATGTATTTGCAGGCAGACTCCTGAGCAAGGGTGGGGTGTGCAAATCTATATTCAGTTGCATATGTGGGGCATCCATCCACACCCCATGTTACCCATGACCTGCTGTAGCTTTTTTTCTCCACAGGGCCCCACTGCTCCCTGGAAAGAGGGTCTTTTGGGGTTTCCCACCCCTCCTTCTTCCTAGATTTTGCTCTGGTAAGGCTGTTGTCCCTGACCATGGATTTGCTGTAGATAGTAGCCGCTTTAACCTGTCAAGGCTTTTGGCTGCAATTTTGCCAGAGCAATTGGTAGAGAATTAGTATTAGGCAGGGGAGCTGGGGGTGGTGATTGACACCGTGGCAGGGATGGGGGTGGGATCAGAGAAGAAGATAGGGACTGTCTCTCTTGAACTCTGCCTCCCAGCACGTGGGAGATGGGGATGTGGAGATGATAATGGTGAACCTTGTGGAAAATAGGAGTTTGGGAATTCTCAAATGCCAGTTCCAAACAAATCACAAACCAGCCCCTCTCCCCTGCAAAGGAGCTGTTACAGACCATATTGATTTAAGCTTCTGATGAAAAGAAACGTGTGCTAATAAGCTTGCAAGGAATGGACAAGGTGTTCCCCGGCTGTTGGGTAAACTCTCACTTCCGTCTCTGTGCCCCTACTTGCTGTGCCTCTCTGGATTTAGCAGCGCTGGGTGTTGAATTAATTTGGTTCTTTTCCCTGAAAACAGAATGTCTGTGCCAGGAGGAGCCAATTCTTTTAAGAGGGAACAGGGCACATGGTCAGCCCTACCTCTGTAAACTCTTAGAATATTGAATCATCCCCATTTTTATCACTGAAATGCCCTCTAAGTGGGAGTTGACGGGCTTCAGCGGAAGCTCTGTGAGGTGGAGAGCTGGTGAGTTCTGGAGAGAGCCAAAGACTAAGGCAGCCAGGCTCTCTGTTTTGCTTCTGGGAGCCAAGAAGTTGCAAGATCCTAGTGGGTTAGCAGTGGCATGGAGGTCATTGATACTAGTAGTCTGGCCCTCAATCTTCCTATCTGTAAAATGGGGGGGGGGGGTTCTTTCAATCTCTGAGTGGGTGGGGGGTAAAAGCAATGGGGAGTGAGGCTGAGACAGTGACCCTGGGGACTTGTGTCTAACTCTTCCATGTTGAGTCTGAACCAAGATGAATAAACTGGAGCAGAGAAATGTGTTTCTTGAGTTTGTGTTTCTCTTCTATTCTTGAGTTTGTGTCATCTGGTGGCCTCTTTGTCACATGAGCCCCTTTTTGAGCAGGGTTCTGAGCTGGGGGGGAAGGATAGGGGAAGACAGTGGGGAGGAGGAATTCAGCCTGCGATGATTGACCGTCTGATGGTGGACTGAGGTCTCTCCTAAGGGGTTTCTCAGGTTGAAAGGGGAGACTTGGCCTCTGTGAGAGCCTTATTTGGGTTGCCCTTGTCCTAAGGCACCTTTGGGCCTAAAAATGGGGCGTTGATTGTGAAAGACACCGCCACACAAAACACATAAACACTCATATTCTCAACCCTGCTCGGGAGCCACTGCTTCCCTGAAAGGCAGCCTGACTGCAAAAGACCGAGGGTCCTTAGATGGTTCTGACACAGATGTGGTTACAATACATGTGCATGACTTCAGATATTTGTTGATGCCTATCAAATTAGATCTTCTTTTTTATATTAATTTGTATGATGATTTATTGATGTCTCAAAAATACATTACTTTAATAAAGTAAGTATATTAATTACCTATTGCTGCATAACAAATTACCCTAAAACTTAGTGACTTAAAGAAATACACATTTGTCATCTCACCATTTCTGTAGGTCAGGAATCTCTCTTAAGGCTACAGTCAGGGCCGAGTCAGTCCAGGGTGCATGGAGCACTCAGTTCTTCAAGGACTGTTGGTTGAAGGTCACCTTCAGTTCCCTGCCATGTGGGCCCTTCTAACATGGCAGCTTAGTTCATCAAATTATGCAACCTAAGAAAGTCAGAGTACTAGCAAGATAGCAGTCACAGTTTCTGCAACCTCATCATAAACATTCATCCCCTCCATGTTGCCATATCCTGCTGGTTAGAAGTAAGTTTCTCGCCGAAACCGGTTTAGCTCAGTGGTAGAGCATCTTTTCGCCAAAACCGGTTTAGCTCAGTGGTAGAGCATCAGTCTGCGGACTGAAAGGTCCCGGGTTCGATTCCAGTCAGGGGCATGTATGTTGGTTGTGGGCACATCCCCGGTAGGGGGTGTGCAAGAGGCAGCTGGTTGATGTTTCTCATTGACGTTTCTAGCTCTCTCTCTCTCCCTTCCTCTCTGTAAAAATCAATAAAATATATTTTTTTAAAAAAAGAAGTAAATTTCTCAAAGGGAGGCTATTACACAAGCATCTAAGAACCAGGCAGGGGGAGAATCAGAGGGCATCTTAGAGGATGCCTACCATAGAAGGCATATTTTATTGATTAAATCAATCAAATATTTTATTATTTTAAAATTACAAAAAATAAAATTACAAAAAAATAAATAAAAATAAAATTACAAAAAATTATATTTCACTTAAAATAATTGAAACATTTTAGAGAAAGGTATATATATTTTTTTATTTTTTAAAATAAAGGTATATATATTTTAAATCCCAGAAAATATACTTCTCAGAAATAGTGACCCAATATATTAATAATTCTTATTATCTCTGCATTTGATATTTATACAGAAATAATATTAAAAATAATATTTTGACAAATTCACTTATTAAGAGATCTTGTTCTAGCAAAGAGCTATAGCTAAAATTTGAATAACTTTAACCATGGAGATTTCTAACAATGAGACAGCAAGCCCCTAGAGACCAAGAGGGGGACTTTTTAGGAAGGACCCCTTTCCCAGAGGGGTGAAGGCTCTTCTGCGCACAACCAATGGCTGAGAGCACAGACAGGGAGGCCAGACCCTGGGTTTGGATGTTAGCATCATTGTTCTCTGTCTCTATGACCTTGGGTAAGTCAATTAACTTCTCTGTACTGTATCTCAATTTCCTCATTTTAAAAATGAAAACAGGTTTGTAAGTACCTCATAGGGTTATCTTAAGGATTAAATTTATAATATGCAAAAATACTGATAGCTATGCATGGCACATAGTAAACTATCTTAATGAGAGTCATGAATATAATTATAAATAACTAGTGGCCCGGTGCACAAAATTTGTGCATGGGGGAAGGGGGGGTGGAGTTGGTGTCCCTCAACCCAGCCTACATCCTCTCCAATCTGGGACCCCTAGGGGGATGTCCAACTGCTGGCTCCTAACCACTCACCTGCCTGCCTGCCAGATCATCCCTAACCATTCTGCATGCCGGCCTTGCCCCATTCCTCTCCTCACACCCCTCCTCTCCTCAAACCCCTAGGGAATCAGTAGATGTATCACCAGTAGATTTAAAGAGAGAGGTGTCCGGTTATGGGACTGGCAGGAGCAGGGAGGGAGGTGGCACGGGGTCAGGGCCGGGAAAGGGCTAAGTCCCCGAGGGCCTGCACCCCCAAACCCACCTGGCGGGAGAGAGATCTCGGGCAGTGAGATGGGAGCTGTCCAAGAGGCTTGGGCTGGGAGCCGTGACCTTGCCCCGTAAGGTGGAGCTCCCGTGCTCCGTGCTGGCGAAGGAGCGGGCTGGAGGCAGGCGTTCAGCTGGTGTTCTGCGGTCTCCGGCCGGCCGGGGCTCATCCTCCCCCCCTCCCAAAGGCGCAGACAAAGGGGCGGTCTCCTCGGAGCCTCGCGGGCCGGGGGTTCCCCCACAAAGCGTGGGTCTGGCAGGGCCGAGCCCGCCCCACGCGGCGGCGCGCCCCCAACCGCTGATCCGCACGGCTGCCAGCGAGTTTCCTGCGCTAAATCCCAACAAGCATGAAAACGGCTCAGGCGGCCGCCAGCAGGCCCTTTGTCCCGGCCCCCGCCCCGCGGGACAGCTGCAGCCCGATCCCTCCCCTCCTGGGTCTCCGCCCGCGCCCCCTGCCGCCTCCTCAGCTGCCGGGGAGTCCCGCAGCCTTCCAGGGCTTTCGCCTCGGGCCCTTGGACGCACAAAGGGGGGCGGCGCCCCTAATCTGGGGGAGGGGGAGGATTAACTCTAGGATCTGTAGGGAGGGGTGAGGCCAAAGTGGGAAGAGCAAGAGAGGGCTGTGGGGTGAGCCCTCCGCTGCGAGCGTGGGTGAGGTGGGCAGGGTGTGCAGTGAGGGGAGCCTCAGGGGCGCACAGAGATGTGGGGCTGGGCCTGTGGGTGTGCAGGTCTGAGTTAGCGGCTGGAGGGGACTCGGATGGTTCCTGGACTCCTCTAGGCGGCCCCCACTCTCCAGTGATCAGGCAGCCCTCCCTAGACCTTGATGCTTCCCTTCGCTGGCCTGGGACCTCCTCTCTCCCATTCCTCCTAGGGTCTCCTCCTT